GACCTAATGTTTTTAAACGTATTTTTTTTGTTATCAAATGATTGCATGAATGAAAAAATAAAAGAATGTAATGTTTTTTAAAATGAAAAATATAGAAGTGTGTTCGATAAAAGAACGCATGGCAAATAACTCAACGCGTACGAAATAAAATTTGTAAACATGGTTCTAACTTTTTATTAAAATTGGTTTTTTATGCAAATATTTTTGTAGAAAATTTAATCTTCTTAGTATAAAGCAAGAAAGTCATTGGTAAAAGTACAAAATAAAAGCCAAGAATTAACTAGTGCGAAAATAACCAGAAAACAACGATTTTTATGAATAAGAATCTACCATATATACAGAATATGTACGAAAATAAAATCTATGCAGTACTCTACGAAATTTACATCTGTAATGAAATAAAAGTTGTATGAATATGATGTACATACAAAAATACCACTTGCCCCTCACCTCTGTGGGTTCGAATCCCCGACAGGGACTTTGGATTCTTTCATGTGAGGAAGCTATCCAGCTAGCTTACGGAACGTCGGTGGTTCTACTCAGGTGACGGTTCGTGACTGAAATAATGCACAGAAGGGCACCCAAGGTCTTCCTCCACCAGTAAAGCTGGAACGTCGCCAAATGACCTATACTGTGTCGGTGTGACGTAAAACCCAAACAAACATACATACAAACATATAAAAATAAGGTATGTACGAAAATATGGTATATATGAAAATAATTTTATCAATTTCATATCAGTTATGAACCACAAGGCGTAGTCACAATAATTAAAAATATTTTAATAACCGGTTTTATATATTATATAAAGATATAAGGCCCCCCAACGGAACAAAACTCATGCGGAAACAAATATTAAAAACTGCTACAAGAAACGACCAGATCACGTTATCTTTTCTGGTGCCATCTGAAAGCATTAAATCCAAGTGCCAACGTGTTTATTTCATTAAAAATCCTCAAATAGCAAAGAAATTGGGAAAGTTTTTCGCCAAAATGCCATTATTTTCAATTCATGTGTTTTCGACTCCATCACCATTAATGAATAAACCCGATTCTGGTCGATTTTTTCGAAATAAACAAAAAACGGCTAGAAATTTCCCACGTCGTTCCATAAACAAACTCTTTTTCCTATCGATAGCGAAGTCTTTAATAATCAAAAAGCCCTTTTTCTTACGTAAATTCATTAAAAAACAAAGGATCCCGCTTTGACAGTATTTAAATCGCCATGTATAGCGCATGTATATACTGTTCCGCGTTTCTATATTATACAAGGATTTGATTGGTTAAGAAATTATCGGAATACTATTGACCAATTCGTAATAATACTATTTTTTGCTTCATTTACCTGTCACTTCAAAATCAAAATGGCGGCACTTTACTTGACCTCCGCTTTTACAACCAATATTTTTTAAATATTTGCGTACAAAGAGGGTTCTAGTTTAATTTAGACTTCGCAGATTGATAGAAAAAGAGTTTGTTTATGAAATTTATGAGGAAATTTTAGACATTTTCTGTTCATTTCGTAGGAATCGACCAGAAATCGTGTTTGTATGCATGAATAGATTGGACGTCGAAAACGACATGGATTGAAAATATTTCAATATTCTTGCAGCAGTGTTCTCGCTTGTTCAGCATGATGTTTGTGTTCTGTTGTAGACCTTATATCTTATTATAGTATATAGCCCATATAAAACTTTAAAAAGTTTGTTTCAAGCACCTGTGTTATGAACCATGTAAATCTTATTTTCGTAGACGCCATTCTAATAATAAATCTATACTTTTTGGGATATATACCATACTTGCCGCACAAACGTTTGATATTTCATTACAAAACATTTCATCCTTTATTATTTCATTAATACAAATCATTCAATAACAACAAAAAAACGTTTTTAATACATTATATAAAAGATAAATCTTTTTCATAAGCCCGATCTTATTTTTGCTTTGCATGGCGATTTGATCTAATTTCGGCTCAAAATGCAATCACTTTTAAATTATTTTTTTTTGGTTCTGAAATTTTAATTTGCTGTAAAGTCATTCAAAGAATGCATAAATATATAACTAAAATTATTTTAACAGATAAATGCAGTATTTCAAAAATATATCTTATTTTCGTTGCTGCGATCTTATTTTCGCGAAAATAGCTTATTTTCTGTATCCATCTCAGTGTTCGAAATTAGCAGTAGTCCATTAGCCCCTGACTTCTTAATTTCTCCTCGGGCTACCAACTTTTTACAGTAACAAGCCCAACCAGACTACTGTATTTTCAGAGGCACTATAAACAACTGTTTGAACAAATGAATAGTGCTAGTGAAATGTCTTTTAGGCTAGTGAATATTCCAGTCTGCTAGTCCGACCGGCCTAGTGGATTCAAATCCCAATTTCTCACATTGCCATCTATACCCGACAAGGTATGCAACATCCGAGTACAAAAAAAATGGGTATGTCCGTTTTCGGTGTCAAAATTTTCCACCGGGTGGTAATATCGTCGAATTTCCACGTTTGTGAATAAGCCCATATATTAATTATTTGCTTCCAACAATAAAGAGTGATAAAAAACCAATATATTGAAAAGTGTTCCGAGTTGACCCGTTTCGAGTTGGAATAGGACCGAGCTGACCTGGGGCCGAGTACGTTTTAGGGCCGAGCTGACACTTGTTCCATAAAAAATATACATTATTGACTTTTAAATGAATAACCGGCATTCAATTTACATACACCAAGTTTAACTGACAATGCTTAACAGTATTAACTCATATTCTTTACCGCAAATATCGCACAATCAAGTTTCTTCCTAACTTTACAACGTGCTATGACGGTCGGTTCTCCAGCGTCCCAGACGGCCAGAGCAAGCGCACGCGGGACGATTTTCGATATTTTTTTTTTTCATTAAATTTCAGCAATCTTTTAGAGACAAGTTATCATTTTATTATATATATATATATAATATATTACAATCAAAATATTTTTCTGAATTAATTTTTATTCAAATTTGAATATTTAAAAAACTTGTGATGGCAGTGGTTTGTGTAGCGAAGCGAAGGGAGACAACTGCGTCGGAGTTTGACAATTCTGGAAATTAAAAAGACTTCTAAGGCTAAATTCTAATAATGATTAATTAGTTTAAACATATTCTATTGCATTAAATACATGTTTACAAACATATCATACAATTATAATCATAACAATGATTAATGTTAGATCATCACGTTCGTTTGTTTTTGTTGTTGTTTTTTTATACCTGTCGTTTACTTTTTCAATATTTATAACTGAGTCCCCATCATCACATCAAACAGTTTTTATCTAATCTGAGGTGAAATTCTACAATATATTTTTGAAGAGAATAAAGGACTTGTCAATAAATCAGTCATATTGAATTTTCAGTTCTGACTTTGTTATTGTCGCAGTATTCTACGTCTTCATCGATTTAATTCGAAGTTTTAATAACCAAATTTTAAAATCAGCAAATATTTAATCGAGAATACTTTGGACAATATTGATTAATGGTCCTTTTATTCCTATGTCCTAAATGTTCACTTTTAATTATTGTTTCTTTGTTTTCCATTCTTTCTTTCATTTATTGTTTTGATTACCAAACAAATCAAATCAGCAAATATTTTAATCGGAAAATACTGTGGACATATTGCCTTAGATTGCTATTATATTCCTTTATTTTATGTATTACTGTTTTTTCCCTGTATAAATCTTTATTATACCAATGTATCTAAAGGGAAATAAATCGTAACCTAATCTGGTAACGCCTTTTTGTTTTGATATTATGTTCCCATGCTGAATAATCAGAAATTATCTCCTATAATAGAAACTGGACTACTGTATTAATTTTCAGTAGACTTACATTATAAGAAATGACAAATAAACCAACCTTAAAATTGAGTATTCCCTGTTAAAGGTGTGAATTAGAAGAATGACATGCCTGAGACACATTAAATTGATCTTGTTATATAGGATTGAACGATCAATTTTTTCGCAAAAATGTCCCCAAAGGTGATTACCCAACTTTTCCCTGAAATGTTGTACTGATCGCAGGACTGACATATATTTTTAAATGCAAATATCCAAATGAGAAATGATGCTGGACACTTTTCATTACAGTTCATTTTCTTAAAAAATGCTATGTTAGTTTCTAAAATAATTTTCATACTTATAACAATACATTTTCGTTCAATCGCCTGATGTCCCATCACTTTTTGCAGCCAATCGCAGGCCATGTTACAATAGAGTAATCTCGCATCAAGACATTTTAAACATATCGGAAAAGGTGAGACAGGAAAAGTGTTCAATAGATGATAAATATATTAAAAGTGAGAGAAAAATATTGTGAAATGTAAGATTTATGTACTTCGATATCGTTGTAACTGAAACGTGCGCATTATTTTGTGAATAACTAGACGGTAACGCAAGGTAATCGACACGTGACCCTCTACAATGAACCTGCATAATATCAAATCAAACAAAAATAAATTTTCAAAACGTACAAAGATAATGCTTACACAAAGTACTTTATATTTTGTTTAATGAAATTAAATTTTCTTCTAAACGTGTTCTAAGGACAACATTAAACACTTTTGCATAATACAAAAAATAAAGAAAAAATATGTATTAAGATAGAATTTCATTTTCCCAACTGAAGTCAAACCACTCCTCTTTTCATTTCGTTCGTTCGTATCGTTCGTCCCGTGCCGTCTATCCGTTGTAACGTTCGTTTCATTCAATCAATTAACAAGCAACAATGTTTTTCACTAACTACAAACAAACAACCATTGAACAAAAGGCCCATGATCAACTAATTTCCAATCAATAAATTCAAATCAATCAATATATGCAAGATTTATCAATCAATTCAAATAATCAATGCATTTTAATCTAACCTATATCTAATGTATATGTCAAATGATCATAATAACGTCAAACAATTAAATGAAATCAGTATAAAACACAACAATTAATTATATAACTATTTACAACAATCAAAAGATAATATGTATCCATTGCGTCAATTATTCACCTAAAACTGGATTTATTAAGCATTCAAGTTTTACTAAATATTTTTGCAATTTTCAGATCATTCCCTCACACCTTTTTTCCAAAATAATCGTTTTTATATAAAAGTAAAGAACGCTTTTTACTCAAATCAGGCTTACAAGCGCAAAATAATTCAAATTCAATTTTATTCTGAGAATATTTCTATATTATCCTTTGCAAGGTTCTCTTTTCTAAATGCTTCACATGATCTATGCAAGAATTTCACATTTTAAGCTTTTTGACCTCAGCGGAGCTTCATTAAAAAGATAATGTAGATTATTCATCTCACAATAAGATGAGTAAATATATCTTAAACTTAACAATTTAGTAGGATATTAAATTATAAAAAACTGTAAAGAAAGAAATGAAAAGATTCAGTTGATCTTAATGATGAAAGTAATTATCATTCCATTGGCTTCTTACACCATCCCGGTGTCCAAGCGTTGCCAAAATATTTAGGATTTGCGGACGGGTTTGATTTTGGATATTTAGCTGGTATCATGTGTTGTTTGTATTCATTTATGCGTGTCCGAAGTTCTGAACAATTTCCGGCATGTCGTCTGCAAGGTCGTTATACTCATTTAGGGTGTCCTGCAAAAAGCAAAAGGGAGTAAACATTAAAATATTATAATAGATCTAAATGTATTGGAGCTTAAATTGTTGTCTTCATAAGCCCCTATGGGGGTAGAGCGGGACAACGTTGTGGAAAGTCCATAATGGTTTGTCACCATTGGCTTTGGAATTAATCGCTTTATGACTAAACTTCATGTTTTTGATTACTATACATCTAATCTACAAATACTATAATAAACAGTTACTAACTTCACTTAGATGAGTGGTCAGGTGTCAATGGTCTAGAATAGAAGTCATCTTAATATCGTAAGGGGTCGAGAAGTCAAGGGTCTAAAATGTCTTGCACTTGCACTTAGATACACATTTTTATACCAATCAGTTATAATACAATAAACAATCACCCTCCGGGGAGTATGGTACAGCAGGTAAATTAAGGGACTTCTAATCGTGCCACTTTCACACTTGTACATCGTACCTAGTCAATGCTGGAAATTACGTTGTGGCAACCCAAATCACGGGGACTGAAACTAGAAGTGTAGGGGCAATAATTGAGAAATTACCACCTGGAAGTTTTTATTTTGATCATCTAAAATTCTATATATAGTTATTTCGCAGGTTTTTGCAGCCATATTTACAAATGAAGAATAAATTTGTCTTTTTACAAATAAGTTTAATTATTTCATTTCGAGTAAAAATTTTCATGGAGAACTACAACCTTCGACACTGCACGGAGAAGAATAAGTGGTCCTGAAGCGTTGCTTTTATTTGTTTTTAAATCAACTCGGATTGGCGTGAGTGCAAATCCCATACGAGCCATAGATTTTTTTTCTTGTGCATTTAATGTGTTTCTTTGTTTTGTTTTTTTCTCTTTTACAAATTAATATACCAATAAACAAATAAAAAAAATTCATTTTCAAACCTTTAAGTTAAATAATTTGTAATAAAAGATTCGTTTCCCGGCTTTCAATCTTTCTTCAAAAACTATATTTATCCCTTCCATCGCCTCCTCTGTGTACATTTCATCTGGTGGGTACCAGCCATTGTATAGTCCAGTGTTTCCCGCCAGTAATTTGTAATCGCCAATTCTGTGGTTTCAAAATGACATCAAAGTAAAAAACGAAATCATGAATAGGATAAATAAAGTAAGACTTCTGTATAAAAATATATCATGTTTTCTGGAATGTTTTGGGGAATTGCTCTATCACATTAGAAAAGCGTATTCGTTCTACATAAATATTTCTTGAAAAGAAGAAAAAACATTAAACTCAAGTTTCCTACAGTTATAATATCAAATACCGAAATATTCGACAGGGAGTAAAAAGGATAACCTGTCTTTAGGGGGCAGGGGACATATTCGAATGATGGCCCCGTCAAATTTTTTAATAACTCAGACATGGTGTTTTGAAGGTACTGATAACTTCTGATATTTCTCTGTCATTGTAATTCCTTTCTTGTTTGTGTGGTAGGAAATGAGAAGTAGTTTGGGCTTTTACCGCGAACTAAGCATTTTGGTAGCTTTGTATGTATTTCTGACTCTCAAGAATGGAGGTGAAAAAGTTAAAATCAAGCTTTGACAGTTTGGCGCCAAACAAGTAAGAATTTCAGATAAATTTTGTGAAAAATCCTAAACGTATGACAGACACTTTACTGGTCCATTTTTTGAAAATGCCATAAGTTTGGCACTGCGTGTTAGTGATATTTTTAAAAGGAATCGGGCGGATTTCTGGAGTATGCTGCACCTTCATGAAGATTGCCCATATTGGTATATTTTAGGTTGAAATTTTGGCTGGGTGGGGGTAAATATAAAATTGTTGTCAGTCATTTTGTTGAAAGGAAGCAATGCAATGCAAACTATCATTTTCTTCAATGTATGTCCATATATCATTGAATTAAATGCTGGTGCAAACTTGGTTATCTTGCCTGTGAAACAGATTTTGAAATATTTGGAATTGGGTGGTTTTTCTGGTCCACTGAAATAACAAAATTGTTCATCTTTTTAAGTCCCCTGCCCCCCCCCTTACTACACTACCCTTATCCCAGCGGTGCCCCTTGGGGGCAAGGAACTACGTCATCAAAGGGTTGTAGATAAATTCCCGTCCGCTTACCCCTCCAGATTCCGATACTATTGGCATCCACTGTGATATGCCGTCAATATTCTGGTCTGATAATTATCAATAAGTATTGATGTTAATAAGAAATATTGATAGTAATTCGTACTTATCAATGTCATGCTGATAATAATTCGTAACATTGATAAAGATTGATAATAATGTGAATAATTGGAAATTAGATATCAATGCCATACAGATGGCAGACCAAACAAAACACGAAATATTGATAATAATTCGTAATAGTGATAATAATTCGTACTTATCAATGTCATATAGATAATGATTCGTAATATTGATGAAGATTCGTAATAATGCCAATAATTTGTAATTAATAACCAATGTTAAATTGATAAAAAAACGAAACATTGATAATAATTTGAAATAGTGATAATAAAATTCGCAATAGTAATTATGATCATATTACGAATTTTATATTCAAAATGTTATTACTTTTTGTATGTTCTTTTGCATTCTACTTAAACAATTGTCGGCACTTGCGTACTTTAAAGCATGCTTCTTAAAAACAAAACAACATTCAATGTTAAGTGAATATAAAAAAACTTACAGTGACATTACGCCCATCCAAGTGTAATTGATCAGTGAAGAGTTTAATATTGTAAAAATAGCTGAAATTTTGCCATGATTGTGTTCAATTCTGTATTTAACTAATAAAAATATGAAAAATTAATCAATAATCCATGTGACCACAAATATCGTATAGAATGTTTCGGTAACATTCAAGTCTTAAAATGAGTGGAACATTCTTTTTATATTTCAGGTAGTGTTTATATTGTATCATGAACATTTCTCTTTATCAATTATTGTTCAATCACCATTACAATAACCAATATTTAGGAATATATTATATATATTACATTATTACATTATACTAATTCAACTCAACTTGACATTAAAACAAAAGAAAAATGAGTATAATATCACTTTAAGTTTAAATCCATGTACAAGTTTTATATTACCATAAGTAAGGCCGGCAGCTGTAAGTATTGTAGGGTGCCAGTCCACCGCATGCATTAACCTGGGAAATAAATGTCTCCAATTATAATCCTTTGATATTTTAAAGGCATATTCTGCCTCAGAAATCAATATTTTTTAATTCTTTAGAAATGTGAAATATAAGTTTAAGAGAGTTTGAATAATGTATTTATGGTATGTAGATGTGTAACAATTGAAGAAAGTAGCACTGGACGTGAGTAATATGTCACAAAGGTAGCAAAATGTAAACAAAGTAGTATTTTGACTTCCATACAAAATACTAATACACTATTATTATAGCCATTACCAATAGAGATATAATTGAAATAAAATTGGCACTATTTTGAGGCATAATGGGCCTTTAAAACAAAAGTCGAATTTTAAACCATAGCCTGTCGGCCGCCACTGATACTACCGTTACGACAGATACCGGCCAAAATCAATCTGCACATTGTCTGATCATGGTGTGCACTGTTCGCTATTAAGTAAGTACATATTTTTCAAATTTTTCGGTACAAATAATAAATGGTTTCATCCAGATTTAAAGATGGACAAGTCCTTGTAAGACAGGAGTGCAGTAAGCGTTCATCTTTAAACATCGACGTCAAAGCATTTTATATGTAACCCATATAATCTTTGTTTGCTGCAACATCAAACTGAACGTCCTCGGCTATTATTCAAAGACGTATCCGAAGACTGACGGAAAGGGCCGAAAAGTTGCGATTGCTGCAACATATGGGTTGATGACCCCTAATAGTTACGGAACTAATAATGTAAGGCAATTGAACAGAAGTGATTGGATAGTAACACGAAAAGAAATAACATAGCAAAATTACACTACGCAGCTGAAAAGCATGACACTCATCATGGAATTGCTTGAATCGATTGAATAGTATAGCACGATAAGAATTTGCATAACAAAGAACCACACTTTGTAGCTGGAAACAAACATGGCGCTTACTGATTTTTCTTGATTTTTAGTAGCATCTAACATGTGTCTTTATCCATTTTACTTTTTAACTTAAAAAACGGCATCAAAGAGCAAATCAAATAGCAATCATTTCGAACATCATAGCTTACCCATCGAAGGTGTATCCAGTTTTCTGAAGTCTGGATCCTGAAACGAATCCAATAGTCCTAGTTCCACCTTCCCATACTGTGATTTTTGAGCCACGTAAAGGCCAGTTATTACCTCCCTTTGTTATCATTCCGCCATTCTGTCCAAACAACATATTTGGTGAAATCGTTTCATGTATTGGTAAGTAAGTTAATTCGGTTAATATACGCATATATATGACTGTTATGCAAACAGAATATGCTCTGAAAACCTGATTCTGGTCATTTTAAGCTCAGCAGGAGTTTGACTTAATGCAAATAAAAGATCCCTAGATATTTCTGCCCCCCAAAAAAAACGATTTTTAAAACGAAACCATTATTTCGTCTTATAAATAAAGCAAATTATTGATATTAAAGTGACATTATGCTCATTTTTCGCTGTGAATTGGCTTGAATCAGTAATATATGGTGATTGACCAACGATTGATAATGAAAAATATGTATTATACAAAACTCCCTAAATTATAAAAACGATGACCCACTCTATTTCAAAGATTTAGCGTTACGGATACATTTTGAGCTATATTTATAGAAATTTTCGTAAACCATTTGCCTTTTTGATTATTTTTTGCATAATAAAATATAAAATTGAACAAAATTAAGGCAAAATGTCAAGTTATCCTTTATGTTTACCTTCTCATTGACCATTTACATTTCGATGGGCATAAGGTCACTTTAATTAAGTGTAATTTGTTATCAGTAACAGCAGAACATCTTGATAGAGAATAGACATACAGATATTTTTATTTCATGACTTTATATAATATTGTTTGTTTTTATATAAAATCGAAACTTACATCAGGTGTTAAAAAGAATATAGTATCATCATAAAGCCCTTTCTTTTTCAAAGCCTCTACGACACGCCCAATAGCAGCGTCTAATGCCGTCACCATACCTGTGAAAAGGAAATGTGATCACATTATAATTAGCTCTATAAGATTGACGGGGATTTCAAGACCGTATTCAAAATGTTTATGCACCTTTAGCACAAGCGGATACTGATGAGCTTGGTTCATGGGATTTGAACTCCGAATCTGGATAAATGCAATAATACAATGTATATACAATTGTGTTCTAGAAATAAGAAAAAGTGGCCCGCGGCCTACTTTGACAGGTTGTCTCAGAAAAAATCACAAATGTTCATCAGAAACCAAAAGATTTGATGGATTTAAGTGAGTTACAAAAATATTTTATCAACTTTATTCCAAGTTGGCTTTTATACGGTGCCTATACAACGTGCCTGTATGACCTACGTGGAAAAAAGACATTCGATGACTTTCCAGCTTATCTGAGCAGGAAGACTTCGTGTGTTCGTTGGTGAATTATTTCAGGCACGAGCTTGTAGCGTTCCGTAACCTAGCTGGAAGGAAGCTTCCTAACATGAAAGAATCCCAAGTCCCTGACGAGGTTCGAACACAAAGCGGCGAGCGGAAGGTAATTTGAAGTCGACGACATTAACCACTCTGTCAAGGATGAGGTTAGGTAGTCAGAAGAAACGTTAGAAAAGAATATTACCTGGACTGTTATTCGTAGTGGTCTTTCTGTCCTACACAGATCACAAAAACCACTGTGATATAGCTTCTGTTTGACTTTCCGGTACTTTTTTGAAAGTTTTTTTCTGCTAAATTCAAGCGGTATGAGATTTGATTCAATATCTTTTATTAACTGAGTTCTCACTTCTGTCTTTAAGCCAACATGTTCTTATAATTATACACAAAGAGGAATTATGTAGTAAACGTACCGCAATATGTTCTTCTGTCCTTAGTTTTAACATCCGGGTACAGAGCTTCATATTGTGGTGGTACCTTTAAAGAGGAAGGTACAATAATTAAATTTACTCCAAATGCAAATGTATATGTCCTCGCAATAAGCTAACTAACTTGTATAAATCATACATTTATATCCCATCTCAACTAATTAACTTGTTGGCAAGATATTATCTTAACAATATACATGTATGTCAATGAACCTGACAAACGTCACAAGAATCACGAACTACAAACCTAATGAAATATATGTATTCTGCCCGTATATTTAATAATTATTAATTTGTATATACATGTATGCTTAAAGATCTTCCTTGAATTTAACAATGCAGTTATAGAACCAAATAAGTCATATTTTCTCTCGTTCTGATATGATATGATATGATTGAAATAATATGATATGATTGAAATAATATGATATGATTGAAATAATATGATATGATTTGAATACAGCAAGATATGATATTCATATGACACGATAAGATATCGATACAATACGATACTATACGTATATATAAGTACGTTATTGATGCGACACGTTACAATACGATATTATATCAACGATATGGCATGATTTGATATATTATATTATATATAATACGATACGATACAATATGATGCGATGCGATACGATATGATATGATACAATGTGATACGATATAATGTAATGTGATGTGATGTGATGCGATGTGATGTGGTGTGAATTAAGATGCGATAATGATTTGAAAATATTAAACCATACATTCCTCATGAGTAAAATAGTCGGACCGGCTGTTATAATAGCCATAGAAAGAATCGAACCCGCGATACTCCGGTGTACACTCCCAGCTACAGAATCCAAGATGCCATCTATAATAGAAATGTTGCAAATATTGACCAAAAATGAATACAACAAATGCAACATTTTGAAAAACAGTACGAATTTGAAAAGCTTTATTTTATTACATGTTCCTCACGAAACGAAACTGTTTACATATCATATTTAGCAAAATCTAAAAATATAAAGGGGTTATGAAACACGCTACTACTGTTTGAGAAATTAAATGATTCAATTAAGACAGCGAAATACTTGTCTTTGGACATATTCTAATATTACTATAAAAATAATATAACAAGTATATAAATGAGTACATATATGGAGAAATATGAAACAAAATGTTCATGGGGCGTCAGTGGACGAGTGGTTAAGGTCGTTGACTTCAAGCCACTTGGCCCTCACCGCTGCGGGTTCTAATCCCGACAGGAACTTTGGATGTGAGGAAGCTATCTATAGCTAGCAAACGGAACGCCGGTGTTTCTACTCAGGTGCCCGTTCGTGTCGGAAATAAGGTAGGACACCTGAGGTCTTCCTCCACTAGCAAACCTGGAACATCGCCAAATGACCTATACTATGTCGGTGTGACGTAAAACCCAAACAAATAAAAAAAAGTTCATTAAATTCTAAATGAATATTTCAAAAGTCTTATACTTATATAAGCTTTTACCACTAAGTAATTTTTTATTGAATTGCCTGTAATATAATATAGCAATAGTTTTATAAACAGTTGTTATTTCTATCTTCCACAAAAAATTCAGTTCATGTTATAAGATTGCGTACGTCAAGTTGTTAAATAAACATCATTTAAAAACATCAGAATATGTATAAGGTAATAAAAATGAGTCACGGGTGCCTGCACGTATATTTCGTTAAATTATAATAAATAATGTAGTTAAATGGAAATATTTATTTGTCATAGTAAAAGATATGTCGAAATATTTCACACGTGCATTTATTTATATATGGTTACGATAAAATGCCTCTCAGCGCGTTGTATTATAAACTTTCTAAATAATTAGAATTCACTTAACATTTCACCAATTTGCCTTTCATATAAAGTGACATTATGTTTCCTTTTTTCATTGTCAAGTTTGAGCTTGAATTGTACTATGTTTTCAAACGATTGACTGTTATAATGATAGTTTTGACCGACAAGTTGAAGTCAGGCGCTAAAATATAAATCTGCCTGGGAATATAAATAGACTTTTCCCACTCTTTTTTTATGAACTGAAATGCTATTTGTTTTTGGGTTTAGCATTATTTCAGGCACGACCGGGCACCTGAGTAGAACCACCGACGTTCCGTAATCTAGCTGGATATCTTCCTCACATGTAAGAATCCAAAGTCCCTGTCGAGATTCGAACCCTCAGCGGTGAGGGGGCAAGTGGTTTGAAGTCAACGACCTTAACCACTCGACCACGGGCGCCTCTAACTGAACGTTGAACTTTTAGGAAAATTCCGAGACATTTCTTTGGACCCTACCCCCTACTACCCCCTCAGCCTTTTGATGGGCGCATGAGATTCTTACTTTCCAATAGCATGTGTAGCATAACCAGCTTTCTTGAGATGACTGGAAAGAAACGTCATGTTTAATGGTGAACACACATCCTGCTCGTCCCATATCACCATATGCTGTAATAGAAACACCAGCATTACCATTAAAGGCACATTATGCAAAGAAATGCCAGAATTACCATTAAAGGCACATTACGCCTTAGTAATGAAAACAATATTTCCTGTTGTAAAAATGGCAAATATGAGATGTATAACGTTTAGTTAATCGTTTAAGAGCATGTTAGATGTCTATCACCTGAAGAAAGTAGAGATGAATTCGAATATAATATTTTCTTCGTAAAAGAAGTAAAATGTAAACAAAGTATACAGTATTTTGACTTCCGTGCAAAATACTAATTCACAATAACTGTACTTATTGCCAAAAAAACAACAGATAAAAAGATGGCCATGAGTTAGTTTTTGAAAATATAACCAAACATTAAAAATAAAAAGCTTTTGGAAAATAAAAATAAAAACATTTCTGAGGCAAAATGGGCCTTTAATATCGCAAGAAGTACAATTTGTATCAGAAATCGACTTAAAAAATCGGATTTCGACTAAGCAAAATGTTAAATCGTTACTTTTTAAACGGCATGATGAATTCATCGTTACTGTAGATGTGTGAAGTTGGCGGCCCAGCGGCCTGGCGGCGTGAAGTTGGCGGCCGGGCCCGCCAACTTCACACATCTCGTTACTGTCATATATATGTTCATTGGAGAAAGAAAATGCAAACGCTCGGAAATAATGAAAGATATATATGAGACTTTTAAATGAATGATCTACTTTTTAAATGTATCATTCGGGTCCTGTCTTGTCACGAAATATTCTTCTTAGAAGAAAGCGTTTTTTCTTCAAAGGTTATTATGACAAAGGATAATATGGAAGATATTGTACCTGCAAGCCAGCTTTAAATGGATAGTACCCAGTCATAAAGGCATGTCTTGATCTGTCACAATGAAATGAAGAAACCTTTATATAACGGACGGACAAATTTTATATATTGTATGCATAAATCATTAAACGGATAACAAATTACAAACTATTTCTATAAGCACATCGTATATTTGATTTTTTTAAACTGATTCACAATAGGTTTCTATTAATCATGATGATATAATGATAGGAAACGACTCATCCTCCTGGAAATTTTGAGAATATAAATAAAGAAACAGTAATAAACAAATGCCGCCGTGTGACAAAATAAATAAGCATTTATTTAGTTTATTCAATATCAAATACAGAATTTATGTTAGTTCGATTGTGTTGGAAGCTATCAGTTAATTGAAACACGCCCAAATGTGTCCTAGAACGAACAAGTACTAAGCAAATCGAAACAAAAATACGACAGTTGTGTATGTATCAGCTATACTCACGGCGAGCAGACTGGTTGAACATACGAGTGGTTCAGAATCACTCCCTGGTAGGCGAGTTTATCAATGTTAGGTGTGATCATAGATGGGTTGTGGAACCCGACATCGTTCCATCCTGAAAATTTATAATTCGTCAAATGGTTAATTCATACCACCCCCTTTGTTGTCTTTCTGATTATAACATAAATCAACCAAATTATAAATGGCCAACCTGTGATTCGGAAAAGGTAAAAAGGGTTCTATGTTTTTTATCGGTTTAAGTTATCATTAGTATAATTTACGTCAGAAACACGTCAGGCGGAAGATATTCCTTAGTCTGTTCTGTTTAATATATTTTTAAAAATATGACAAAACTGAAAACTAAGTTTAATATTTTCATTTTTTTTCAAAGCTACAATATTGTCCGCGTTAACAGCACTTTTCAAACTATACAAATTTGAATACAAAAGATTTACTCTAGTTCAATCGATCTACTATATAATGGAAGGGAAGGGAGACCTGTTTTTAGCGATACAAAATTTGCAGAACGTTGAAAAAGGAAGAAAACGTGAAAGGGGGGAAGAAGGAAGTATTGGACATTTTGTAAATTATTAAATAAACATTAATTTCAAGCATATTAAAAAATTTCATCTTGAATTTGTAAATAAGACAACAATTATGCTTTTACGGTAATTAAAAAAAAAATACATACAATGAAATAATTCACTCTTACTTCTTTGCAATGCTCAAATAATTCTATAAGTAAAACAACAAAATAATTCAAGGACAAATTGTCGTTTCGTAAAATATTGTTGTTATGTTCTCCGTGAAGAATTTCTCGTTTAATAATACTTCCTGTCGTCCAAAAACTAACGTGATAACATAACCACGAGAAAAATTAACTAAATATACTCCATAAAACTATCACCAAGAATGCAAAAGTCTTATTTACAAGTCGCACGTGTTAAGTTTGTCGGTAATATACAAATTTGACTCAAAGTGGTATTTGAAAAACAAACCATAGTATTATGTACATTATTACATTTATCCTTTTAAAAATTTACATTTACTTTACTCTTTTGCTTTTACTGGCGGTAATAAGCCTTATACGTGATTTACCCTTTAGGCCTGCTGGCGGTAATAGCCTTATACGTGTTTTAACCTTTAGCCTGGCTGGCGGTAATAGCCTATTACGTGTTTTACCTTTTAGCCTTGCTGGCGGTAATAGCCTATAACGTGTTTTACCTTTAGCCTGCTGGCGGTAATAGACTATACGTGTTTTAACCCTTTAGCCTGCTGGCGGTAATAGCTATACGTGTTTTAAACCTGATGCCTGCTGGCGGTAATAGCCTATACGTGTTTTAACCTTTAGCCTGCTGGCGGTAAAATAGCCTATACGTGTATTTAACCTTAAGCTTGCTGGCGGCAATAGCCTATACGTGTTTTACCTTTAGCCTGCTGGCGGCAATAGGCCTATACGTGTTTTACCTTTAGCCTGCTGGCGGTAATAGCCTATACGTGTTTTACCCTTTAGCCTGCTGGCGGTAATAGCCTATATACGTGTTTTACCTTTAGCTTGCTGGGGCAATAGCCTATACGTTGTTTTACCTTTAACCTGCTGACGGTAAATAGCCTATACGTGTTTTACCTTTAGCCTGCTGGCGGTAATAGCCTATACGTGTTTTACCTTTAGCCTGCTGGCGGCAATAGCCTATACGTGTTTTACCTTTAGCCTGCTGGCGGTAATAGCCTATACCGTGTTTTTACCTTTAACCTGCTGACGTCAATAGGCTATACGTGTTTTTACCTTAAGCTAGCTGGCGGCAATAGTCTATACGTTGTTTTACCTTTAACCTGCTTGACGTCAAATAGGCTATACGTGATTTACCTTTAGCCTGCTGGCGGCAATATCCTATACGTGATTTTACCTTTAGCCTGCTGGCGGCAATAGCCTATAACGTGTTTTACCTTTAGCCTGCTGGCAGTAATAGCCTATACGTGTTTTACCTTAAAGCCTGCTGGCGGTAATAGACTATACCGTGTTTTTACCTTTAGCCTGCTGGCGGCAATAGCCTATACGTGTTTTACCTTAAGCCTGCTGGCGGGTGATAGCCTATACGTGTTTTACCTTTAGCCTGCTGGCGGCAATAAAAAAAAAAACCTATACGTGTTTTTACCTGATGCCTGCTGGCGGTATAGTCTATGCGTGTATTACCTTTAGCCTGCTGGCGGCAATAGCCTATACGTGTTTTACCTTTAGCCTGCTGGCGGCCATAGCCTATACGTGTTTTACCTTTAGCCTGCTGGCGGTAATAGGCCTATACGTGTATTACCTTTAGCCTGCATGCGGCAATAGCCTATAAGTGTTTTACCTTTTAGCCTGCTGGCGGCAATAGCCTATACGTGTTTAACCTTTAGCCTGCTGGCGGCAATAGCCTATACGTGTTTTACCTTTAGCCTGCTGACGGCAATAGCTTATACGTGTTTTACCTTTGGCCTGCTGGCGGATATAGGCTATACGTGTTTTACCTTTAGCCTGCTGGCGGCAATAGCCTATAGTGTCGTTCTGTCATGGTTTGCACTGTCCGTTATTCACTCAGTACATATTTTGATATGGTGAATGGTTATATCAAGAGTAGATGGAAAAATCAATTTAAGACATTTATCCTGGTAATAAAGCGACCTTTTAATGATAAATTAAAAGTAACACGTGTAAGGTTTTCTATCTAAGTTTCAAACATTCTACCATATTTTTTTTGTAGAGGTTGACGTATTATATTATAGAATCTGAATGAGTAACGGTACTAACGGATGTAGAAGAGATATCAACGACAATACTTAATGGTTCTAAGATGCATAGATTGTAGCGTAACATATAATTAATATAGGTTATTTTATTGAGCAATATAATCATAGTGTACGTGTACAACGTATATATCTTTATTTTCATGCGATAAATTAAGACTTTTACGAGCGTTTGAAAAATCCCACATATGACAAAAAGAAAACCAAGTTATAATAAACAGGTCTAGACATCTATATTTAATGTAAAACGTGTTGACAATATAATACATACCTAAATCATCCGCTACAATAAACACAATGTTAGGCCTTTTACCATCCGAGATACTGGTACATAACATATAAATCAAACTTACAGTAAACAATGTCAACATCATGTATTTGTTAAAATGATATTTATATTAACACATCTCTATAAAATATCACAAATGTGTCACTGGTATTAAATTCAAATCAAATAATTATTATTCCATTGTAAGCATTCTTTCAAATATTCATGAAACGCTGATATTGATTATACTCAATACGCTGGAACACCTTTACCTGCTATTAATAATTGATCGAACTACAGATTGTTTTACGCTAAAACGACACAAGTTTTACGGAAAATAGCGAAAATGTTGCCACATTTCAAACAAAGTGTCGCATAAAAAATAACATGTCCGTGAAATTCATTCGTAAATTTAATGGACATTAAATTATTTTTCTATAAGTATTCATCTGACATCGTAAAAATTAACGGCGAAAATTTTATCTGAATATACTACCAATGGCTAACTCGTGGACAGTTATTCACATAGTTTAAAAGAAAGAGTATATTGATAATTAGATTTAAAAGTTAGTTCAAATTTTTATTAAGCGAAGTGTCATATGTTTCCGCGCTGTTAAAGCCTTTTCAAGCACAGTTTAAGTATTGTTTCGAAATAAAATAATAATAATAATAATAGCATCTTTATGTCTGAATATCAGTATTGTACACTCACAGGTCATATATAATTTCCTCTTCACACAAAGCAAGTTTTCAAGTTAGATAAATAATGCACTTAAATAGTTTAAATAAATGTGCATTAAAGAAACTATTACGATCCGAGATACCTTATTTGATTACAAATATAAGTTAAAACGAATTAAGAACTTGAATCTTAATTATAATGTTCATGTTCGGTATCTAAATATGAGCGTATTGAAAGGAATATGTCAGATTCATCAAAAATGTTAAAATTCTTAACTTTCTGAGAAAAAAGAGCGGTGTCTGTTACCATAATACGTATAACTGCATTTAGCAGGGCAATGCGAATTATTTACAAATTGTCGGAGTTTTCCGTATATATATATATATTAATTGTCGATATATCATTAAATTTTCTACTGCACAGTTTAGATCTCCGATATATAAATCTATATTTTAAGGAATTGCAAAAAAGTTTGTGAGGTTATAAAATCGATATTGCTATTAATAGCCTTTGAGGACAAGTACCCGTATGTGTATTTTTGTTAAATTTGTGTCGTTTTATACTTGACTGACAGTAAAACAGTCGATGGTTACACAGTATTATATTACAAGTATTTATTTAGATCGGTTAGCTTTGTGTGTATGTGTGTTTTTATTTTTTTTTTATTTCGTTTATTTTTTCAATGCTGTTATATGAGTGATAATGCAAAATGCAAAGTGTAATAACAATAAGTTTGATATTTCTGATCACCAGTGTTCATAACTTGGAAGGAAAGAAACCAAACATTGTGTTTATAGTGGCTGATGATCTGGGTATGTTTTATATGTTGTATGTTATATGCCACTTGATTGTTATTCTAGTTGTACTTCCTGTTTTGTATATGTATGGTATAACCTTCAAACATTTCCTGCCAACGGTAACGAAATAATAAAAAAAAAAACACACTAAAGTGCGTAAAATGAACATAATTATATTACTGATACAATTTGTAATTTAAAATTACTGTAAAATCAGTTAACTAATAGTAAATTACTTCACAAGTCTTTGAGAATCCTTCATTAGGGGAATAAAAACAAATGATCGGTTATAAACTTGGTCGTTATATGAAAGTTTCTCTATTTTTTTTCATTTCTCTTCGTGCGATCGTAAAATCGGTCCATTCACGAAAATAAACACTCAACAAAAGTAAAGATTTTATGTTGAACAAACTGAAATTGTGTTCCTGTCCAATGCGTAATTTGAATGTGTATCAGTAATATAAAGAAGTTATAAATGCTATTTTTAGCGATATGATTTAAGCATACGTGTACTACAAGTACCATCATTTCTTTCGCCATTTCGAACCGTTCGTTGTTTAAGGCGAAGGGAAAATAAAATGCCTTCGTTCTTTTCCCCCCATAAATTAAGCAACCAATCAAAAGTAAAGAAGAAGCTAAATAAATCGAAACATATCTTGATGAATTTTGTTGCTTTTGAATCTGTTTATCCTAAAATACTTCTGATTGTCTATTTGCAAGACGATTTCTTGTCAGCTTTATTTTTTTCTTTACTGAAAGCTGGTAACTTGAACAAGTTTAAAGTTAAATATAATAAAATATATTATATAACGAAGTCATTTCAATAAATATATTTTATACAAAGCTACAAAAATGATCGGATTATATACAAAATCATGAAGAAATAAACGGTGGTAACTCTGTGGTAAGTTTGGAACTATAATCATCAACTCCTGAAATGGAAAAAGGAAAATGGTTGTTTATACCTTAAACAAACATGAAGAAATCGTTTCGCCATAGATGTAGAATATTAATTGATATATTTATTATGATCACTGAGGGAAACACCATGATATCCATTCATTTTACTAACATTATTTGTTAAATCTTATTCGGTGTATTATGGTGTCCCGTTAGGGCCATCGCGAAACACACAAAACTCGAAACAACTAAAACAACAATATTCGATGATGAAAAGTCGAAATTACAAAAACACGGTGGTGAAATTATATCGAGTTTTTCACCACCGTTGTTTCGTCACCATCGTATGTTCGTTGTTTCGAGTTATGCGTATGTCGCGATGGCCCCATTTGCAAAGAATATAATTTACTTGCAGTATTTCAAATAAAAAAGTATCTGTTGATCGTGCATTAAGTAGTTGTTTGACAAAAAGAAAATAGAGCTAAATCAAAGAAGAATAAACAAACCAAAAAAAATCTTACTATGTTGTTTTATATTTCAAGCCAAATTCATCAAATCCATTACGTCAATTAAACCTTCCCGGTACCATCCTATTAGCAGACGATGCCAAAAAGTGTTTCCCGAGAAAAGCCCGGAGCTTGTTGAACTGTAAGGGTTCGAACCCCAGCTGTTATACATGAATGGCTGGTTTGGCTGCGCTTGTGACATCATCTGTTGTAATGGCCCTGTATTTTGCTGTGACGCGTACGGAACTGGTTGACTATGAATGCTGACCAATGCGCATGCGCATACTACCAGGCTCGATGTAGTAAAATAATGCATTATCGCTGTTCTGAAATATAGAATTAAATTACACATTGTTAGTTCTATTGCACAAATGTGGGATTAATAATTCAATATTTTTCACTGAGGTAATACAATCCTTCTTATATGTACACGTTTTAACGGTTTTAGCCTAAGTCGATTGATACCGAATAACCATTTTTTTGTCCCAGACCGAATATATAAAACGGTCGATGACACTTTTGTTTACGTTTCCTGATTAGATCAAGGGAAATAAAATATAATGTTCGAGAAATAAATTTGGGACATTCCAGGGATACACCTTCAAATTCGACGCAATAAATGCAAATCTTGCTGTCAAAGATTGGCATTATTAATACTTGTTTACTGCATAACTTACGCATCCAAACTATTTCAAGGTCCAGCAATTAGCGTAGTTAATGACTTTAACGCTTAATGAAAAGTTAAATACTGATGAAACAAATCTAGGAGTTGGTTGAAGTATTTTCTTGCAATGAAATAAAAAAATTTAGCCTCGATGAACTTTTTTTTTAAATTTGTTGTTGTTGTTTTTTTTCCCACGAATTCCTTTGACTTCATTTCTTAGATCCTGAATTTTGTGCATATCTAGTACAGAAACTCGTCCGATTGCAAAAGATTTTTAATTAAAGACACTTTTGATGAAAATCACGAGAAATATTTTTTTTATGTAATTTTGAAATAACTTCTTTACTTTGGATTCTTACATGTGAGTAAGCTATCCAACTAGCTTATAGGACACTGATGGTTCTACTCAGGTGCCCGTTCATGCCTGAAAAAAATGCACGGAGGGGCCCCTGAAGTTTTCCTCCATCAGTAAAACCACCAGTAAAGCTGGAAAGTCACCATATGACATAAACTATGTGTGTGCGATGTAAAACCCCAACCCCCTCCCCCCACCAAAAAAAAAACAACAAACAAACAACGGAAAATGTAAATTCCCAGTAAATTACAAGATTTCTTCATTCGTTTATTTATTTACAAACATACATATTGATTGTTCATTGCTTCTTAATAACTTTTTTTTTGAAGAACGTTAGCATTGAACGAATTTAGCAATCTATTTGATCTGTCGTTTTTAATTCTTTTTTTTTAAATAAGAAATAAAACAATGCATTATTTTCTTGAATGCATGGTATTCTTGGAAAAAGTTAGTAATTCATTCGACCTATCACAAATTAAATAACCTTAAATAAATTTAAGTTATCTAATCTAAAATTTAAATAATTCGTGCAATTAATATTAAATATATAAGGATATTCAAGTTTTTTCTATAAATATAGGTTTATTTCCATCGAATGGTATGAAAATAGATGTTTCACAGGTGCAGGTAGCCACGATAAAATGTGATAGTTTTAAACCATTTAATGAAAATAAATCCTGTATTTGTAGAAAAAAAGATATGTTTCTGTTTGTTTTATGCATTTTCCTCTTTTTTAACATTACAATTTGAAAGATTTCCCCTAAAAGTTTGTGCATCGGCTGAATTTAGAAGAAAATAGTCCGACAAGACACCAGTGAAAATACCGAAAATATGTTTCACTGTAATGAAAAATAAGTATTTTACTGTGAAAATACGGAAAAATGAAAAGACGTAATTGTTTTCATCAATGTTCCTCAATACTTCATTTATAAGCATATAATAAAACGGATAATTTAATTTGTATATTATGATAAGTGAAATCTATATTAACATAACTTCAAATTACCTGCTGTAATTCCTGTATTTAATATACCGATGTAATGTTGTTAATGCTCTTTCAGTGTCTAATAACTTAATATAAGATACAACTTTCTTATAAATCGACGTAACGTGTTTTCTTACGTTACGTCCAGCCGTTATTTAGACACGAAAACAATTTTGTTTATGTCACGTAATCTGGGATATAAAAAGAATAATATATTAAAACACGTGCAAAATACATAACATGCGTTAATTGTAAACATTAACCACATCTTGACATAAACAATTATACCAGTGGCACAACTGTAGCCTATTTTCATGAATCACGAAAGTATTAAAAATGTATGTGACGTGTCACGGAATTAGGTCTAGATAGTAGTTACTTCACAATGACGCTAATTCTATCTCGGGCATTTGGCAAATGGTATATCAATACTGTTAATAGAAACATACATTATGAGACAGCATAATTCAGGGATCACATGATACAATTTTGGCTTTGATCCGGGCTTGGCTACACAATTTCCAAGTTTTCAAACCAGTCTCATTTCAATAGTTTAACAGCAAATAAACGCTATATTTAATGTACTAAAACTGGAACAATGAACTTTTACAATGCCGTGTAGTCAAATGTCTTATTTCAAAGGCTGTTTTTTCAGATAGAGCCTTTCTCTTTAACATAAATACAAGGTGTAAATATAGTAACTAAGGAAAAATTGCAACTTTACGAAATAATAAAATGGAAGCTTAAGAGAAAGAATAAAACATCAAAATTGAAAATGTTGCAGGCTTTCAGGTTTGTTTTCTTTGAGTCAGTTTATGGGCAACAGTGGTCTTACTCTTACTTTTGGTGCCCCCCAAGCACCGGTTGAATCAAAACATGAACATTTCACCCGTAATTGTGTTCATACTGTGGTATTCAAGAACTGCCAATGTGTTGCTGTTGAAGCGGCGTCTGGTCCCCAAGTAACAGACTGTAGATGCCTTAAGCAATAGGTCAATAGATTTACATTGTACATCAAGTGTATGCTTTTACTGTTTTCAGGATGGAACGATGTCGGGTTCCACAATCCATCTATGATCACACCTAACATTGATAAACTCGCCTACCAGGGAGTGCTTCTGAACCACTCGTATGTTCAACCAGTCTGCTCGCCGTGAGTATAGCTGATTCATATCTATTACAATTTCATTTAATTGATTTACCTGACTTACTGTTGTAAGGGTGTCAATTCTTTCAAAATCGTTTGATTTATAAAACCACAATATGACAAAAGTTCAAGTCTGATTAAATTATTTTCTAATGCGTAGCGTTAATTTGGGGCTGGTTGATAGAGAATCATTTTAGGACTGCTTTTTACTGGTTTTCTGTAAAATGATATACATTCTTCTATTTTTTTTTCAGCTCCCGACATGCCTTTATGACTGGGTATTATCCATTTAAAGCCGGCTTGCAGGTCTGTATTTTTTTTTCATATGAAAAATAAATAAATATTTATGGACACATTCGATTTGAATACAGAAATTTCAATATAGTTGTGATAATTTTAGCATCTTCCATCATTCTCAGTAAATGAATATTGTGAAAAAAGTCTTTTTATTATCTTTTTTATTTCCATCATTTTGAACCACTTCTCGTTTCTAAGTTAAAAATACTTCATGAAGTAGTTTTGAGGTGTTTTTTTTTTTTTTTGTTTGTTTGTTTTTTGTTTATGCCCCGTATTATCTTCATCAGTAATCATTTTCATTTGTTTGTTTTTTTTCTGATTTCAGTTTTAGTAATCTGTTTATTTTTACTTTCTGACAAGTTCAGCTTCATGTAGTTTTACCGAACTTCTTAACTTCTAAATATCTTCGAAGCGATATATAACAAAAACATGAGGCATTTTGGCTTTGGTTAATAAATTATTACTCTGAATGTAATTCTTAACGTCCATGACTAAGATGTATGTACATTTTTATATTATTTGAATGATACTTATCGACATTTTCAGCATTTGGTAATTGGTCACAGTCAAAATGTCTGTTCACCTTTAAACATGACGTTTCTTCCGAAACATCTGAAACAAGCTGGCTATGCGACCCATGCGATTGGAAAGTATGTTGATTTAAAAGAAAACTTCCTCACTTGAAGTTTTATTTATTTATCTATTTATTTACTTACTTTACTTTACTTAAATTTACTTTACTTTACTTTACTTTACTTACTTTACTTTACTTTACTTACTTTACTTTACTTTACTTACTTACTCACTTACTTACTTACTTACCTTACTTACTTTACTTTACTTTACTTTACTTTACTTTACACTTTACTTAACACTTTTCTTTACACTTTACTTTACTTTACTTTACTTAGTTTACTTTACTTTACTTTACTTAACTTTACTTAGTTTACTTTATTTTACTTTACTTTACTTTATTTAACTTTACTTTACTTTACTTTACTTTACTTTACTTTACTTTACTTACTTATTTACTAACTTATTTATTTATTTATTGTTGCATTTTAAGAACGACAAGTAAACATGTGTAATTGTACTGGCCGTTTCAAGAAATATTATTCCTTACAAATGCTTTCATTTTCATTTCTCAAAAACATTACATTTTTGGTAATTTGTTACAGTTTCCAAATAAAAAAAATACTCATTTGTCACATAGATGAACTAAGTTTTGCAATATTTGCTCTGTTCGCAAATGGTATAATAACTAAAGTGATTTATTATTTTGTATAGAAGTCAAAATACTTCTCTACTTAAACGACACATTACGGCACTTCAGCCTACTTTCTGTAGTTGTTAAAACTTCTTTTACTATACCTCAATATTTCCTTCAATGTAAAACTCCAATAGGCCTATTTTGTGTTCTGACTGAATATCACCCTCCTAGGATATAGTACCCGGGAAATATTTCTTATATCGCCCTGGGGCATATAACTCTTGCATAACTCTCGGTATAATAAGATAAATAACACATTGCTGTCGGGGTGATAGAGGATATGGCCAACCCTTGAACTGGCATATTGTACAAAATCCTCTATTACCCCGACAGCCGTGTGTTATATACATGTATATATAATATGCTTAAATCTATTAGCAAAACATTAATGAGATTTCTAAAAATAAATAAAAATGATATACATTACTGAGGCATATTGTGCCATTCCTTTGGCCATATCTAAACAAGATTTACTATTTTAGATGAATTATCGTATCGACCTTTTCTAACGGGTCCCATTTTCATGTTGTTTTTCATTTACTTTTTATTTTTATATCAAGTTTAATTTATCATAAATGACTGGCTACAGTCTAATGTTTATAGGGTTATGACGTCAATAGTGTATATTTACATTGTACATGTGTTCATTTGACACCATGAGAAATTCTTTATATTTTTATTATAAATTATCTTAATGTAAAACATACGTGAAAACATTTGTCGTAAATTAATACATTTGTATGTAAGTAGCTGTCGGCTTGCTAAAACGTAATGTTTACACATTATAACTAAATTATATGACATGAAAAAGTTTACTCACAAGTAAATAAGTTACCAAAAAAAAAAAAACTTAAAAAATTTCTCCCAAAACTAAAACGATTTGAAACATTTACTTTAGCCCATTTTTTGTCACCCCAAAGGAATTAAAAATAACAACATGTAAATATTCCAAATAAAAACATTCTTTGCTTTTTAAATCATTCTTGCAGAGTAAATTTAGATGAATGCTTTTCAAATATGTGTTCCTTCTGCAAAAGTCTAGTGTCAATAAAATCAAAAATCGATATCTCACGCGTCAGTTAATCAGATATCAATTGCAAAATGTATTTTGTTCTTTTGAATATGTACATTGTTTTTGTAAGTATATTTAATTTATTTACACATCATAATTATATTATCTTTAAAACTATAATTAGATGGCATCTGGGATTCTGTAACTGGGAGTGTACAGCGGAGTATCGCGGGTTCGATTCCTTCTATGGCTACTACAACAGCCGGTCGGACTATTACACCCATGTTCAAGGTAAATATGTTTCACACAATCCTTAGAAATCAGTCAGTAAAATTTATGGCAATTAATGATAACTTCAATTCGGGCTGCTTATTTGGGCTATGTTTTTTTTCCAGCAAGTTAACTCATACAAGCTCAAATTTTCGATGTTGTTTTTGGGGGTGGCGTGGAATTATTCTTCTCGTTGTTCTAGTTGTTGTTTTTGTTGTTGTTGTTGATGATGATAATGATGATGATATTTTCGTTGATGATGATGATGAAGATGATGGTGGATGATGGTGATGATGATATGATGATGATGATGATGATATCGATGATGATGATGAAGTTTTTGACTTTTATCTCGGTATAATATTTTTTATTTTATTTTCAGACAAATTTCTAGATTTCCACGACGGATATAACGTTGTCTGGGACAAGAACGGGTCGTACTCAGCCGTAAGAAAAAATTACATATAATAAATACATAGGATACTGTAAAACATATATAGGTTTTGGAGGCTTTTACCTTACTTTAAACAATAAGTAAGAATAAAAAGCATTTAAATAAAGTATGATTACTGTAAAGGCTTACTTTCGGAAGAAGTTCGTGTTTTATACACATTCATCAAGCGTAGTTTTGCTTTCTTCCATAAAGTAAAGCTGTCATGATTATTCAATACTTATGCGGCTTTTATATATACATTGTTATACACTGATTGTTACATTTAGTATAAATGAATAGTTTCTACCGTAAATAATTCATAACTTGTTGGTAACAGCTGCCTATCGGCAGATAACTCTTCCTCAAATGAGGACTAAGTACTTTCAGAGTTGTTTCCCTTAATATTTATTTGTACATATCCGAAAAAATTTAGAATATTTTTCTAGTTCATGTATAAACCTGAGGTTTGAATAAATAGACAATGTATCTTACAGTTTGTTCTGTTGAAAGCTTCAAGAATATGTATATATGAGAGTTTTATATATGACAATGAATAATATCTAAAGGTCGTCAAGGTATGAAATATAATTATTTTACAGGACTTGTATGCGGATAGAGCAGAACATATCATAGCTAAACACAACAAGAGTCAACCACTGTTTCTCTACCTACCTTACCAAAACGTTCACGAACCTTTAGAAGTAAGATACTGTCTGTTTATATATAAACAGAACGGACGATAAAAGATAAAAGGAAAGAATAAAAAGCGACGAACGAACATTTGAGTTATAGGACATTCAGAAACACTGTAGCGGTCACCGTGCGACATTCCAGATTTACTTGCGGAGGAAGATCACATTTAACAATCCGTGCATTATTTAAGGCACGAGCGGTCACCTGAGTACAACCACTAACGTTCAGTAATCTAGCTGGATAGCTTCTACATATAAAAGAATTCAAACTCCCTGACGGGATTCGAACCCACAGCGATGAATGGGTGGTTAAGTGAATTCTACAACCTTAACCACCCGGCCACGGATGTCCCTTTGTAGCTTTTTAAAACCATTATATATATTGCGTTTGTTGGTTTTTAAGGTACCTCCTGAATACGAAGCTTTGTATCCGAACGTCGAAACCCCGGGGAGAAGAACATATTGTGGTATGTAAGATTAGTGAAAATATCTAATCAGATCAAATATAAATCTCTAAATAAGTCATTAACATCTTAAAATGCCATAGAACTATATTTTCAAAGATAGAATTCAAATTCCCATTTGATACTCCATTTTACTCAGTGATAAATATTCAAGTGTTTCATTGTAATTCATGTTAAAGATATACTCTGCTCAAATTTGGTACATGTATTAGAAAATAATAATTGCCACGTCTTTGAAAAAATAAAATAAACATGTTTTGACTTCACACATAGTAGATATGTTTAAAAATCTACACACTATAGGTCGTCACAATATGAATATATAGTGTCATTAAAATAACTGGTAGTTTTTTTTTTTAGAAAATACCAACTTTACTTGTCCTGTTATATGGAACGCAGCTTCCCCTACATAGTTAACTTTTTATTCGTTCTTTAATTCAAATTAGACATAATCAGGAAGAATTTCATAGATTTCAATACATTTTCTGTGATTAAATATTTTGCTGAAAAATTTGCATAGTTTATCTTTAATAATTCACAGGTATGGTGACGGCATTAGACGCTGCTATTGGGCGTGTCGTAGAGGCTTTGAAACAGAAAGGACTTTATGACGATACTATATTCTTCTTTACACCAGATGTAAGTCAAGACATTTTCTCTTTCTGTTCTAGAAATCAAAGGTGATATTTTAACATGAGTACCTGTATTGGAGATATTAGGAGCCCCTATATGAACATTGTTCGTAAAATCCGCCGATGACATACCCTTGAGAAGGAGAATACATTACATTCAATGAATAAGGGGAAAAAACAATGCTTTATGGGCATTGAGACTTAATAGGCTCATAATGAGACGGTTTATATTCATTAATTTTGGCTGATATAAAAGCAGTGGAATACTTAATGATCAGTACATTTTAATAGATATCTTTGTGAGGAACGTACGAATGTACAAATTGACCGTAGAAAACTAATTGAACTCAGAAGTATAAGACTTGGTGTTCCAACAAACTTACCTATTCTAAAGAGTCAATATTTAAGAAATTGTGTTAAAACTATAAATATTTGTTTTTTTCTTCTTGACATATATTAATTTTGTGAATGCATTTTCAGAATGGCGGCTGGACTCCTTATCATGGTAATAATTGGCCTCTGCGTGGCGGTAAAATTACAATATGGGAAGGTGGAACCAGAGTGCCTGGATTTGTTTCCGGTTCAAGACTTGAAAAGACAGGCTCTGTGTTTAATGGGTACATTTTTTACCTTTTCATATTCGAGACATTCTCGATCACATGCTCCATCATTTAAGTATTTGACAACTATTTGATGCCATACCACCCGTAATGCTGTTGCTGTTTAAAGCCTCAGCATGTGATATGTTTTGGTATACATATGAATGTTTTCGATATAGAGTTTCGTTTCTTTATTTAATTTCAGCACCAACTCTTTGCACGCTGGTGGTTATAGAACGGCTGTATTAAAACACAGACAACCTGTAAACTCTAAACTTGCTCGATATAAACATTTTGAAATAAAAATTCCCCACATAATAAAAAAACAAGTCCATTTACCAATTTCATATAGAATACATAAAAGTAATTGTAACCTGTAGGATCTATTTACGATTAATCTGTGAAACACTTCTGATCAATTTCTACGATATACTCGTATATACAAATGAAAAGTCTTTTTTTACTTCAGATTAATGCATGCAGTAGACTGGCACCCTACAATACTAACAGCTGCCGGTCTGTCCCCTGGTATGGATAATCTATTTCTTCATTTAATAAATACTTTTGTATGTTTAATCACAACTCTGATAATTATTTGTTTACAAAACGCTGATAAAATATTGTTGTTGTCGGGTTTTACGTCGCACAAACACAGTATAGACTATATAACGACTTTCTAGCTTTACTGGTAGAGGAAGACCACAGGTGTACCTCCGTACATTATTTCAGGCACGTTCCGTAAGCTATCCGAATAGCAACCTAACAAATAATCAAAAGTCCATTTTGGGATTCGAACCAACAGCAGAATGTAGGACAAAACCCCACCAGTTAAAATCCCACCACTCAAAATTTTATAGAGTGGACAAAACCCCACCACTAAATTTTATAGAGTGGACAAAACCCCACCACTTAATTTTACAGAGTGGACAAAACCCCACCACTTCAGTTTTATAGAGTGGACAAAACTTTCTTGTAAACATGTTAAAAAACAAACAATTGTGCATCAGCAGAAACTCAAAAGAATGTGTGAACAACTCATCAATAAGGAGAAGACTGTACCTGAGTTTCTTCAGGCTATCAGCCACAGTATCCACTTAAACTAACTACAATGAAGTACAACTGAACTGAATAAATTAGAAATGTGCTATAAAAATGTGCTATTTTTTAATAATTAATTGATGAAAATGTGCTACATTCTTGATTAATAGTAAGTAGTTTATTTTTTATATAAATAAATTGAAGAAATGAATTTGAAGAAACTAAAAATAATGGATAATTCAAGGTCATAAATGTGGCACAGTCTCAAATAAATGACTACTCTTTGATGTTGATTTAACAGTTTGTAAATTATTTGTATAATCTCTTATATTACACAAATGTTATATTGAAATTAAAAAATAAAATGTGAAAATGTGTACTGTATATCATACATATTTTAATTCATCAAATCTTGCCCAATAATTTGTAAGTGGTGGGGGTTTGTCCACTCTGTAAAATTCAGTGATGGGGTTTTGTCCACTCTATAAAATTTAGTGGTGGGGTTTTGTCCACTCTATTAAAATTTTGAGTAACCGGTACCAAATGTTCTTCATTTTTTTGTAAAAAAGTATTTGAAACTCAAGTGTTACTTAAGCGAATTCCCCCAAAGCAACCATTGAAATTGCATAGCTATAAACTTACTGATTTGACTCTTTTAGGACTAACATTACAAATGTTTAGATAGCGTTGGCGTTCGGCACATTTGTCTTGCCAATGATGGTAAAATTATCATAAAGTAATCTCCCTTTGATCATCATGAACGAAATAACTATCTTTATATATGTATATTAAAACGGGTGCTGGATAGTAATTTATGATAATTTAACCATACATGTATTTGGCACGACAAATGTCTCAAACACCTGTGGTTCGTCTTTGGAAACCAGAGAAAATATAATTCTTATTATTCTATAACGTATGGCTCTAGTGAATAGAAATGACATTAGAAATACTTAAATGGGTTAATAAAAAGCTTTTTCTTTTACTATGACTTCTATGAAATTCTTCCAGATCCTAGTCTTGATGGGATATCACAGTGGGATGCTATAAGTTCCGGGTCAGACGGCAAGCGGACGGAATTTATCTATAATTTAGATGACACGGTGCCAGCGACCCAAGGCCATGCTGGAATTAGGTTACTATGTTGTAGTTACTTTTTCAAGCTTTTTAAGTTATGCATAGCACTTTCTCTATTTAAATTGCGAAATTATTTTAAAAAGTGGATATCTTCACCGAGTTAAGTTTCATTACTCGAACAAATAATCTCTGAAAGTGGTGTTTGGACTTTTGCTGTTATGTAAATAACTCGCTTCCCCTCTACTTATGTAGATCCATATATCAGGTTGTTGTTTGGGATTTTTTACATTTTAACAAGCTTAGCTCTAACATACATTTTTTCTATACTTTTTAGAATGGGCGATTTCAAATTATTGGCGGGAAACACTGGGTTATACAATGGCTGGTACCCACCAGATAAAATGTACACGGAGAAGGCGCTGGAAGAGGAATTTAGTTTTGAGGAAAGGCTAAAAGCCGGGAACGAATCTTACTATAAATTGTTTAACTTGAAAGGTATGAAAATCGATTATCTGTAAGTCTGGCGCTATGTTTATGACCTATGCGTATTTTAATTTTTTTTTAAGAAACTGTGTTGAAACAAAATAGTAATGCCATTTACATTGCATTCAATTTTTATTTTTCTAATTATTTACACATAAGTAAAATTCGAATAAACCTAGAATAACCGTTCCTCACATTGAGGGAATAGTTTCATATTTATTTTCATACAAACATGAATAAATCAAGGAAAACCTATATCAACAATTTCAGACGATCCAAACGAGTATAAAAACCTAGCAGACGACATGCCAGAAATGGTTCAGAAACTTTTAAAACGCATGAATGAATACAGAAAAGACATGATACCCGCTAGAATTCCACCAACAGACCCGGCAGCTAATCCGAAATATTTTGGCAATGTTTGGAGTCCCGGTTGGTGTAAGAAACCAATGTCGTGAGCATTGAGTGGAAGGACCATTCTCAAGCAAGATTGTTGAGAACTTTTTGCATAACTAGGGTTGAATTGATTTCATTTTAAAGTTTAACGCCGGGTTTTATGAAGAATTAATATCTCTATCGGAACATCTCGGCTATTATCAATAATAACGTTCTTATTAGAAGTTTGACGGAAAAGGCCGAGGAGATGCGAATGTTAATATCTACCAATCATCAGCGAGAGGATAAACGTACTTTTCATTTTTAAGCGCTTAATATTTGAAATGCAAAAACAGGTCATTGCAAACTTGTTATTATGAAGTGAATATGTGTATAAGTAAAACTGGACTCAATTATAACTTACTATAGATTGTTAAGTATTAATCTAAAATTGTGCTGTCAATTCAAAATAAAACGCAGTTTGTTTTTACCAAATAAAAAATATATAGATAAAACTAGTAATTGTGTCATAATACTTGTCTATTTAGATGATATGTTTTGCCCATCTTTTTACAAAAGTCAAATACCTACAAGTAATTTAGGGTATAAGGCCACTATTGGAAAAGTTTAGTATTGTTTACAAATGCAAAGGAAAGCGCACAAAATTCTCTTAAACTTTGCATGTTTAAGGAGAAGCATGATTGAAAAATAAATGATAACAAATTGGGGTGTTACCGTCCTATTTTTTAATTGAATGAATTTACTTCAGGGGTTTGCGTATTTACTTTTTCACATTTAAGAATTGTAGCATTTTTCATTTTTTTCGCATTGTTGCATTGTCGTATTTTCCCAAATTGTTGTATTTTCGTGTGTTTTTTTCTTCTATCTCTGCGTTGCGATTACGCATGCATAGATATACATTTAATAATAAAAAGCGTTCAGGTAGTTTATCACTACAATCGTAATTTTTCGGTTCTTTCCGCCATTCTACGGTGAAGATTATAGATAAAGAAAAAAATAATAATGATATTACTCTTGTCTCAGTGCTACATACGATATGTGTTCAAAATTTGAAAAAAAAGCTAAAATACATTTTATTTTCATATGGTCTTTTAAAGACAAAATTGAATAATAATTATCTATCACAATAGAAATAATGTAGCACTGCACATATACACTGTATATATTAACTTTAGTATTATTATTCATGTAAATATGATATACGAGAAGGTTTTAACAGACGCAATAAAATATTAAACTAAATTGCAATAATGCCAACAAAACATCACTTGTGATTGTACTTTTGTTTTATTATTAGGCAAATATACACACACTTATATTAACTCGATGTGAATTCCATTTCAAATGAAGAAAACTGCGATTTTAAGATATTCTTCAAAGTTGTAGAGGAAACAGATCGCCGAGTCGAACAAACAAATCAGACGTTTATGGTAGCTGGAAGATTGCAATACATTTGACAAGGTTATTGTCAAAGCACATGTTTGTTCCGAGCAGCAATTATTTGACTTCAGTGAATATGACACCGGTCGGCATGCATTTTCGTGCTGTCTGACCCGCCTATCACGTTTTTCTCTGCAATCTTTGTACCACACATTTTTGTTTCCTCTTTTCTTTTTTAAATGTGCAGGTTATATAATTTAAAAAGGTTTTCATAAAGTCACAACAGTAGGTTTTTAATCTATATTAGATTAAACAATATATATTTACAATGTTTATATTTACATAAATAAATTTTCACATATTTAGTAAAGTACAGGAAATAAATTTTCACAGATTTAGTAGAAAAGCTGTTTGAGAGCTCTCTTCGTAATCAGTACTTCACAAACTTTAATATATTATAAATTGGTAATAAAATATACAATACACAAACTAAACTATACATACTATTTCGGCATTTGCTTGTTTTCTTACGCATACATAGTATATTTATATTATAAGTATTTGAAACTAAACTCAAGATTCATAACTGTTCGATTTGAGGTATAAGCCAGAATAAGATTTGTTTAAAGATAATGGACACAATGCGTAGTTCAGCGTTTAATCTATTTAACAAGTATGTTGAAAAAAATCAATTATTAAAACATGTAGATCGAAGAAGACTAGTACATGTAGTAAAAAAGACTAAAGAAGAAATAGGAAAAAAGAAGGAATAAAGTTACTTTATGTTATGGAGCGAGAGATATACTATGCCCAAATTTGATATTACAAAAAAAATGTTATCTCTTTGTAAAGTAAATATAAAATAAAAATATTGTAACTTCACACAAATAGATATGACATGCTTAAATTCTAAACACTATAGATAGTAATAAAGCGTCATTTAATTAAACTGGCAGCTTTTTGAAGAAAAGACCAATTTTACGTGTCATGTAATAGGGAAAGCAGCTTCCCATACATACTAGTAGTTTATTCATTCTTTTTATTCAAATTAAAAATTTCATAGATTTCAATAAATTTCTGTGACTTAAATATTTTACTAAGGTTTGTGCATAGTATATCGTTAAATAACCAAAAACATTATATATCAAATAGTTTATGAATGTATATGTGAGTCAATTGTTTCTTTTAGGGCAACCGTATGTGAATTATCGCCGAAGAGCAAAGTTTTCATATTTATATATACACATGTACATATATGCTGAAGTGAAGGTAGGCAGATCATCGAATAAAATACCATTTATCTATATAAGTTACAAGTAATCACCAAATACAATCTTCTACCAACGTTACAAAGGTTAAATTTAGATAATCAGTGAAACAATTGATAATCCGTGTTTGTTTTACTTAATCCGTAACAATGCCAGATAAGATTTTCACCAGATTTATTTACTTTGTAACACTATGTACCAAAGCATTTGGGCCTTTTTAAAGAGGAACCTCTTCATGATTATGATGCGAAATAACTTTAGAAGAGTCACTTAAAGATAAAGGAAACATTTCTTCATCGCGGTTATACAGTAATTACTTAAAAAATAATCAAAAGAAGAATTTAAAGGGCACTTTTAACTTCATTGATTAAAACTGTCAAAGTCGTCAAAATAGAGATAGCCAGTCATTAAATGGCAGAAACATTGAACAGTTTAGCTCTTATGCAGTTTGGTTTTGGCTGTAAAAAATCTCCCGTACATTAAATCAAAGGTGTTATATTTTCGACCCTTGGTGTGTAGACGCTAGCTTGCAATTACCACCACCGTCCATGAACAGGCTCAATAAAACCGAGCTTGCAACATCTTCAATTTTACCATGTGTGCTTTCCTTAAGGATTCTGTTTTTCTCTATTCTGCTGTATTGTATATAGTCAAAATATTTTGACTTGCCAAAGGATTTTGTGGGTCATCATCCCGTGGGGGGGGGGGGTAGGGGAGAGATATTGCCCAAAAACAAAATAGAAAAAAAATCTTCATGTGTACCACTATTAGTAGTTGCAGTAGGTTTTGTATACAGTTTACAGTAATGCACTGACCTTTTAACAATTATGATAATGATGGTTTTTTGTATGTCATTTTAGGAATATGAATAATTTTGTTAAAATGATACGAATACGAAAATTCATTTTGCATAATTGATATAAAGCATAATTCAACGTTTATAAAAAAAAATAGAAAATATAAATTGTAATGTATCCATACAGTGGATACCAGCACACTGTGAACTTACTGGCAACGAAGAAGCTGACCAATTGGCTAAATTTGGAGCACAGTCTGAGCAACCAGATGTCCGAGTCTCATACAAGGAGAAAATCACCATCATCAATATCAATGCATATCACTCCTTGAACCGGCCAGAACAAGTGATGATGGTGAGACTACGCTCAGGACATAACAGACTTAACGCTCACATGAACAAAAAGTACCGACTCCTTCAATCTCCAATGTGTCCGTGCGAAGAAGAAAACCAAACTGCAGAGCATGTCATCCAAAGATGTAAGCGACACGACCTGCGACATGGCCTCAGGAAACAACCCTCCAACAGAAGCTTTATGGTGATTTTGAGGACCTGAGACGAACCACATCCTTCATCGTAGATACTTGCGTAGTCGTGTAATTGCGTACGCCAGTAAGTAAATAAGTAATAGTAATGTATACAATGTTTGGAGGTCAAAACATGGATTTTACAGCAGACAAAAGATGTTTTAATAAATATTATGTTCAATATACAATATCTTGCGCTTCCATGTACACGTTTCAAATAATCAGGCGACAATCTACACTTTTCCTTAAGTCTTCACTTCACTTATTTTACATCATGTATCATTTCCTTAAATATAAAGACATGAAGAACGCTAAATTCTACAGACTAGAAGTATATAGTCATTATATCATCATCCAAACATATTTCTAGCCCTATTACCATTAAAAATATAGTTCTTCATTTTGAAACTGCCATAACAGAGATGTACAACCCTGTTCAAGGTGTACGTAGATTTCATTTCAAATGCATGTAGGCTTAATTCAACCAAATCAACAGAATGTTCTACCTAGCGACCGTGGAATACCGTTAGTTTAAAATGAAAAGGTGAACAGAAAGCCTCCAATCTAATGTACAGGGGGACAAGAACACTCCCACGAATGATTTACATGCATCAAACGTACCATTATTAATTTTTCATACATGCATTTCGGATTATTTATGTAAAAGCATGTACAACACACGAAACTAAACCATTCTCAAATTCAAACATGTTAGTGAAACAAAGAAAAAAATAAGGAAATAGGTGATAGAGCATGTTACAAGTAACGGCTTAAAAACACTACTCCAAAACCAGGGGAAACGACTGAATTAGAACAAGTACTGGTATATAGACATGCATTTTTTAAAATATTTTATTGTCACTTCTCTCTTTCACTCGGTGCGTGCACGTCGTAGAGAAGGCAAAGGGCATCGGCAGAAGATTCTTAGTGGGTAGACAACTGTAAACTACCCAGTTCTATGGTACACCATCTACTTCACCAGCTGACGATGCCTTGAAAAACGACGAGGGGAGTGGTTTACAATGAATCCAGGGACGACGAGGAAAAGTGTGCTAGGATGCGTGAGCACCTAGCACATAGAGTGACGGCATGAAAGGCAGGCCCTTTATTTGACACCAACATCCCTTTTAAGAGCAACATCTTTTTCATATTGTCTCAGGCTACCGTACTTTGTACATTAAGGTTCTCATTGACCGCTGTACAGTGACCTACTTTTTGCACAGGAAATTGCATGGAAGTAAATTATCACAACTTTGTGCTTCAAACTTAACCCTTTAAGGGCATGACTGGTGACAGGGTCCGTACTCGACACTGAAAGCTGCATGTAGTGACCTAACGGGGCGGATGTACCCTTATTAAACAAAGAAAACATGATGCATAATACGTACATATTATATCGTCAGTCAAAAAAAAAACAAGTTTTTACATGAATTCATCTTTTAAAAGCAAGTCACGCAAGTTTGTTTATTATAGACATCAGGGCCAGATCCAGATTTTTATGGCATGGGGTGTCTTATGTCTGAATG